ATCTCCCAAAAATGGAGGAACTTAGTGATGTCAATTCACAATGGTGATGCCCAATATCAATGGAAAGTGACTGTTGCACTGTCTACTACACTGTTGCAGGCAGTCACTTTCTGCAGTTTCTTTCCAGCTGTACAGTTAACTTATACTTCTGTTAGGGGAACAGCAAGGTATCAGGTCGCTAATCTGGTTACTGTGAATCTAAAGCACACTGCCCAGATTATCTTGAGTCGATTGACTTGAATGATTGTACCAAGCATGCTTCAGGTCCTTTATCTGGTTCTCTCATAAAGTAAGTTATTTTACCTTGATTGTATTTATACTTGTGTGACATTACTTACAATGATGTAAGCAAGGTTGGTAAAAAGCCTTCCACAGAAAGTTGACTGTTGTACTGTTCCTGTACAATAGCGTGTGCAAGCAGCAACTTTTCTGCTAGAGAGTTGACTTCATACAGTCTCCTCGGGAACTGGTAGGGACCTGTTCCTGTAGTTGTTCCTTCCACTCTTCCTCACTTGAGTCATTGCTATCAGCTTTGAGTACCATGTTCTTTTCTTTCTTTGGTTCTCTTCTTTCCCTATCTGTCTTCCTCTTCATCTAGTAGGTTTTCAGATTTCCATCCAGCTCTTCTATGCTCAGCTCCTGCAAGTCCTTTGATTCAGTAATAGCATTCACCTTGCTTTCCCAAGGGCTGGATCCCAACCTGGAACTTTGTGATCTTAGGGTCTTGTAAATGTGTAACAGGTTCCTTATCTGGTTCTGGATGGTAAGTTTGTTAGATCATCAAAACATAAAGTAAAGTACTTGTGCCCAAGGTACTTGTAACCTATCATACTGTGTTTCCCATTGACCACTAGAATAAACGCAAAACCACTGCATTCCACCTTATAATCATCCACTCTATACCGAAGGTCAATAGCACAAAGCATGTAAATGGACACTGTAAACAAGATGATGAAAATGGAGCTGAATATCACCGTCTAGTGAAGTACCAAAATTTCTTGCACTCGAATTTGAAATTTCAAGAAAGATTTTGATGTCATTTATGGGTTGGATGTCAGAGACAAATTCAACCTTGGAAATTTGCCACTTTTTAATCCCGACGATCTAGTCATAGGTTTTTATCATTGTTTTTTCTGAAACCAAAAATAACTACGGTTAGAAGTTTATTTCTAAGGTATATAAGGAGGATAAAGAGAATAAATGAAGCGATAATTTTGTCCAGCTGCTAAGTCTACTTCACAACAAGAATCAGAATACTAGAAATAGAGTCCTCACAGTTGGAGGAAGAAACGACATGCTTGACGTATATATGACGAGGCCAATATGTATTGGGATTTCCTGATCGTACTCTGTCAAATTCTAATATAGTTTAAGATATCGTTCTACAGAGACTGGATAATCTATGCCACAAACTTGTAATATTTTAACTACTATTTGAGAGAATCAAATTGATGAAAAGTGAGTGAGGTTTAAAACTTGTTAAATACTTAAACAAAACAAAATATTTTTGGAAGATTTATAATTTAAAAAGGAGTTGGGAATCATTGAATTCACTTAATAATATTACTATAATAAAATTTCAATTTTTACATTTATTTCTCTAAAGAATAATTGCTTATTTCTAATACAATTATATTTTACTCAGTAAGAAATAACTAATTAATAACACTCCATGAGAATTATGTTAATTAATCAATTTAAGACTAGTGATATTTAAACCGAAATATTTTTCTTGCTTGAATTGTGCTAAAAGAAAGTAAAAACTTCGTGAGAATATTTTTACTAAGGATCAATAATCTTGCCTACAACAATTCCTCTATGAGAATTAAAACTGAGGAAAGCAAGATTACTGATTTGAAATAATAGTTTATTGAAAAATTACTTTCACACTACTATTTTATTCATCCGTCTTTATATATTAATTTTGCTCCGTGAGAATTACAAAATTAATATATGAATAACTTAGAGATAAAATATGTAGATGTGATGATAGAGTAATTAGAAACCATCATTTCAGCACAGTATGATATGTAAATAAGAAGTTTCAAGCTAAGAATATAAAAACTGAGATAGTATTATAAAATATATCAAGCTTTATCAACTATCCCAACGAAAAGAGATTACTCCATTATGGATTAAGAAAAGCTAAAAAAGGTATTTAGAAGACTAAAAATATTTAAAAGACTAAGGAAATATTTTTACTACAAAGAAAGAAGACCAAGACTAGTTCTTCTCTTACTAAGATTGAATATCCTTATACAAAGAGAGCTTGCTATTTATAGTAAACGATGAGTAGCTTTTGTCATGTTCCACTTTTGCGAATGTAAAATCCATGTATGCGAAGTGACCTTTATGTACGTATATTCTATATATGCAACTATGGCACTTATGCTTCACTTTTGACTTCATGAGTTAGTCTTGCAAATGTAGCTTCCATGTATGCAAAGTGGCCTTTGTGTAAGAAGATTCAATATATGCAAATATGGCACTTGTGCTTCACTCTTGACTTCATGAGTTAGTCTTGCAAATGTAGCTTCCATGTATGCAAAGTGGCCTTTGTGTAAGAAGATTCAATATATGCAAATATGGCACTTGTGCTTCACTCTTGACTTCATGAGTTAGTCTTGCATATGTAGGTTTCATGTGTGTGAATGTGACCTTTGTAAATATAGATTCTACGCATGCATCTATGACGCTTTTGCTTCCATTCTTGACTTCATGACTTAGACTTGCAAATGTAGGTTCCATGTATGTGAATGTGACATTTGCAAATATAGATTCCACGCATGCATCTATGACTCTTTTGCTTCCATTCTTGACTTCATCACTTAGACTTGCAAATGTAGGTTCCATGTATGTGAATGTGACCTTTGCATATATAGATTACACATATGCAATTATTCTCCTTTTCATATCTAATTGTCTCTTTCCATAAGCCCATATGTATATTCCACATTTGCGAATATGATGATGATATGTGCAACTGTGGCTTTGCTTCATTCTCTTGTCTTTTTCTGTGATGACCCAAAAGGTCATCACTTGTTTTAGAAATGCATTCTATGTTCCGAGGCCTTAAAACCTCCTTTTTGCCTCAACTCGATTTACGTGAACAGTCCGGACGTGTATCCAGAAAGCCATTATGTGAAAATCTGTGAAAAATAGTGAATTTTACTTTTAAAATGAATTTAAGTTGACTTTGGTCAATATTTTGGGTAAACGGACCCGGACCCGTGGTTTGACGGAATCGAATTCCGTGGTCCCAAGCCCGAGAAATGAATTTTTAAAGAAAATAATTTTCTGGAATATATATGAGTTTTTGGAAATGAAATATATTTGAAATTGATGGTATCGGGCCCGTATTTTGGTTCCGGAGCCCGGTACAAGTTTGAAATAATACTTAGGTTGAATCTGTAAAATTTGGTAAAGATCATTATTGGTTTGGTATAAAATGTACTTAAAGTTGAGAAAATTTGACATTTTGGTTATTTTGATGATTTGATTCATCAAAATAATTCATAGTTGTTGATGTTATTTTGATGATTTGATTACAAGAGCAAGTCTGTATGATGTTTTTAGGTTAGTGTGTATGATTGGTTTGGAGCCCCGAGGGCTCCGGTGAGTTTTGGATAGGCCACGGAATGGAATTGAACTTAGGAAGTTACAAGTTTTCAGCTGGTATGTGTTGCAGGCCCTAATCTCGCAATTGCGAGGTCAGGTGTTGCAATTGCGAGCCTATCAGGCTTGGGAATTGCGAGGGTAACTTCGCAATTGCGGAGTATGACCTGTCCAGCCTTCCTCGCAATTGCGAGAAATTCTTCGCAAATGCGATTACCCCCAGATGTCCCCAGTCGTCGCAAATGCGACACCCCCTTCGCAAATGCGAGTTCGCAATTGCGAACATATAACCGCAAATGCGAAGATAGAAGGTTCCTTAAGGGTGCTAAATCATAACTTAGACGCATTTTCAACCATTTTTCAACCCTTTTCAAAACCTAAACACCTTTGGGCGATTTTTCAAAGACAAGTACTCTTCCAAATCGATTGTATGTCATTTCTAACTCATTTTCATTAATCTTTAACATCTTTTCACATGATTTCAACTCTAAATCAAGGGATTTCATGGGGGAAATTGAGTATTTTGTGTAGAACTTAGGTTTTCAAATTTTAGGGATTTAGACCTCGATTTGAGGTCTGATTTCAAAACAAGTTATATATTTTAGTTCGTGGGTGAATGGGTAACCGGGTTTTGGTTCGAACCTCGGGTTTTGACAATGTGGGCCCGGGGTCGATTTTTTACTTTAGGGGAAAAAATTTAGAAAACCTATTTTAATGCATTAGAATTGATTCATTTAGCATTTATTGATATAGTTAAGTAACTTGTGGCTAGATACAAGCGAATTGGTGGTAGAATCAAGAGTTAAAGCGGTAGTTGAGGCTTGAATTGTGTTTGTGGCTTCGAGGTAAGTGTTTGGTCTAACCTTAGCTTGAGAGATTAGGAGTTGTGTCCTGTTAGCTATGTGTTAGTTGTTGAGTACGACGTATAGGTATGGTGACGAGTATCTATACGTTGATCTTAAACATGTCCGTGAGTCTTATACTATGATTAATATGACTCCGTTTGTATTGTTCATGCTTTATGAGATGATTTCTATTGTTAAGCAAGGCTTGTGGAAGTAATATTGATATTTAAACATTGAAGAGTGTTGTTCTCAAGCATGCTCATGAGTCTTATACTATGATTAATGTGACTCCGTTTGTATTGCTCATGTTTTCACGATCCCGGTTTGCCCTCGGTGAATCATCGTGACGGCACCTAGTCTCTACGACTAGGTAAGCCTAAAAGGTGGAAGATAAAAAAATTTGTGGAAGAAAACAATTCAAAACAGAAATAGAGTAATAAAACAACGTTTAAAAGTGTCGCTCGGCATACACAGTATTTAACTCTCAAAAGCTAATACAAATACCATGTGCAACACCCTTAGCATATACACCTGTAGTTTCTAGACCAAAGTTGAACATGTAGATGTAGAAGGATTGTATGAAGAAGGAAGCACGTATTTCCTTCCATTTGTACCATGTGCATTGTAGCTTGCACCTGTAGTTTTATCCACCAACAAATCTCCAGCATAGCCAGGGTAAGCACCCTTAGCATATACACCAGGACAAGCAGAAGCAGCCTCCAATGGTGCATCTGCCTCTCCTTGATAGTATCCATTTCCAAATGGGTTCGTCGCGGTCGCATCCAATAAACTAGCCAAGTTAATTACCATACCATCAACACCCACATCGTTATTCGGTGCAACCAGGGGTGGGATTTGTGGTCCGTAAATGGGCTGGTGGAATGGCCAAGCGCAGTAGCCAGCGCATTGAGTCTCTGAGTTACCAACCCAAATATAAGAAAATTTGTATGTCTTGCCCCTGATAATGGCACCTTTAGAAGACTCATAAGTTCCACAACGATTGACGCAGAACCCGTCGACTGCAACATCAGAGGCAGTCAAAACAATGTTAATGGATAATCTATGCTACAGACTTGTAATATTTTAACTACTATTTGAGAGAATCAAATTGATGAAAAGTGAGTGAGTTTTAAACCATGTTAATTACTTAGACAAAACAAAATATTTTTGGAAGATTTATAATTTAAAAAGGACTTGGGAATCATTGAATTCACTTAATAATATTACTATAATAAAATCTCAATTTTTACATTTATTTTTCTAAAGAATAATTGCTTATTTCTAATACAATTATATTTTGCTCACTAAGAAATAACTAATTAATAACACTTAGTGAGAATTATGTTAATTAATCAATTTAACACTAGTGATATTTAAACCGAAATATTTTTCTTGCTTGAATTGTGCTAAAAAAAAGTAAAAACTTCGTGAGAATATTTTTACTAAGGATCAATAATCTTGCCTATAACAATTCCTCTGTGAGAATTAAAACTGAGGCAAGCAAGATTACTGATTTGAAATAATAGTTTACAGAAAAATTACTTTCACACTACTATTTTATTCATCCATTATTATATATTAATTTTGCTCCGCGAGAATTACAAAATTAATATATGAATAACTTAGAGATAAAATATGTAGATGTGATGATAGAGTAATTAGAAACCATCATTTCAGCACAATATGAAATGTAAAAGAAGTTTCAATCTAAGAATATAAAAACTGAGATAGTATTATAAAATATATCAAGCTTTATCAACTATCCCAACGAAAAGAGATTACTCCATTGTGGATTAACAAAAGCTAAAAAAGATATTTAGAAGACTAGAAATATTTAAAAGGCTAAGGAAATATTTTTACTACAAAGAAAGAAGACCAAGACTAGTTATTTTCTTACTAAGATTGAATATCCTTATACAAACAGAGCTTGCTATTTATAGGAAAAGATGAGTAGCTTTTGTCGTGTTCCACTTTCGCGAATGTAAAATCCATGTATGCGAAGTGACCTTTATGTACGTATATTCTATATATGCAACTATGGCACTTGTGCTTCACTTTTGACTTCATGAGTTAATCTTGCAAATGTAGCTTCCATGTATGCAAAGTGGCCTTTGTGTAGGTAGATTCAATATATGCAAATATGGAACTTGTGCTTCACTCTTGACTTCATGAGTTAGTATTGCATATGTAGGTTTCATGTGTGTGAATGTGACCTTTGTAAATATAGATTCTACGCATGCATCTATGACTCTTTTCCTTCCATTCTTGACTTCATGACTTAGACTTGCAAATGTAGGTTGCATGTATGCGAATGTGACATTTGCAAATATGGATTCCACGCATGCATCTATGACTCTTTTGCTTCCATTCTTGACTTCATGACTTAGACTTGCAAATGTAGGTTCCATGTATGTGAATGTGACCTTTGCGTATATAGATTCCACATATGAAATTATACTCCTTTTCATCTCTAATTGTTTTTTTCCATAAGCCTATATGTATATTCGACATTTGCGAATATGATGATGAGATGTGCAACTGTGGCTTTGCTTCATTCTCTTGTCTTTTTTTGTGATGACCTAAAAGGTCCTCACTTGTTTTAGAAATGCATTATGTGTTCCGAGGCCTTAAAACCCCCTTTTTGCCTCACATCAATTTATGTGCGCAGTCCGGGCGTGTATCCAGAAAGCATTTCTAACTCATTTTCATTAATATTTAACATCTTTTCACATGATTTCAACTCTAAATTAAGGGATTTCATGGGGGAAATTGAGTATTTTGGGTAGAACTTAGGTTTTTTCAAATTTTGGGGATTCGGACCTTGATTTGAGGTCTGATTTCAAAATAAATTATATATTTGGATTCGTGGTGAATGGGTAATCGGGTTTTGGTTCGAACCTCGGGTTTTGACAATGTGGGCCAGGGGTCGCTTTTTGACTTTTGGGGAAAAAATTTAGAAAACCTATTTTAATGCATTAGAATTGATTCATTTAGCATTTATTGATATACTTAAGTAACTTGTGGCTAGATACAAGCGAATTGGTGGTAGAATCAAGAGGTAAAGCGGTAGTTGAGGCTTGAATTGTATTTGTGGCTTCGAGGTAAGTGTTTGGTCTAACCTTAGCTTGAGGGATTAGGAGTTGTGTCCTGTTAGCTATGTGTTAGTTGTTGAGTACGACGTATAGGCATGGTGACGAGTATCTATACGTTGATCTTAAACATGCCCGTGAGTCTTATACTATGATTAATGTGACTCCATTTGTACTGTTCATGCTTTATGTGATGATTTCTATTGTTGAGCAAGGCTTGTGGAAGTAATATTGATATTTAAACATTGAAAAGTGTTGGTCTCAAGCATGCTCGTGAGTCTTATACTATGATTAATGTGACTCTGTTTGTATTGCTCATGTACGATCCCGGTTTGCCCTCGGTGAATCATCGTGACGGCACCTAGTCTCTACGACTAGGTAAGCCTAAAAGGCGGAAGATAAACAAATTCGCAGAAGAAAACAATTCAAAACAGAAATAGAGTAATAAAACAACGTTTAAAAGTGCCGCTCGGCATACACAGTATTTAACTCTCAAAAGCTAATACATATACCATGTGCAACACCCTTAGCATGTACACCTGTAGTTTGCACCAGAATAGTCTAAAACATGTACACCCTTAGCATACGCCATTAACACTGTTTTGACTGCCTCTGATGTTGCAGTCGACGGGTTCTGTGTCAATCGTTGTGGAACTCATGGGTCTTCTAAAGGTGCCATTATTAGGGGAAAGACATACAAATTTGCTTATATTTAGGTTGGTAATTCAGAGACTCAATACACTGGCTACTGCGCTTGGCCATTCCACCAGCCCATTTACGAACCACAAAGCCCACCCCTGGTTGCACCAAATAACGATGTGGGTGTTGATGGTATGGTAATTAACTGGTCTAGCTTATTGGCTGGGACCGCGACGAACCCATTTGGAAATGGATACTATCAAGGAGAGGCAGATGCACCATTGGAGGCTGCTTCTGCTTGTCCTGGTGTATATGCTAAGGGTGCTTACCCTGGCTATGCTGGAGATTTGTTGGTGGATAAAACTACAGGTGCACGCTACAATGCACATGGTACAAATGGAAGGAATATGTGCTTCCTGCTTTATACGATCCTTCTACATCTACGTGTTCAACTTTGGTCTAGAAACTACGTTTCCCAATGTAAATACACAGCAGCAACAGGAAAATATTCAGAAATGTCAAATTTCATACTAAGGCAAACAAGTAGTTCTAGCCAAGCATGCTGCACAGAATTCAGGTAAGGCAGTTTGAGCAATTAAAGCAATTAAATCACTTAGACATGCTTTCCTAAGCTAACAACAGGCTTAATAGTGCAAGTAATAAAAACAGGAAAAGAAACACACTCGATTACTTAATGAAAAAACGAATTTTCAAAAATTAGCACAAGTACACACTCAACACCTCACGTACAAGGCATTTCAATTAAAAATAATACCAAATCCTAAGGGGAAGGTCCCTCATACAAGGTTAGGTAAGCCACTTACCTCGAACCAGCTCAATCAAACTAAAACCACGCTCTTGCCATGAGTACTCGACTCCAAATGGCCCAAATCTATTCAATTCAATTTCATAATGTAAACAACACTTCAAGTAACTGATTCTACAATTAAATTCTAAGCTAATACGCGAAATTAGGTAAAATGACCAAAATGCTCCTCGGGACCACGTCTTGGAATCCGGTAAAATTTACATTTCAAGAATCCTCACACTATCACGCATTCAGTCATACAAAAAGTACCAAAATCAGACCTCAATTGGTCCCTCAAATCATCACTCAAATGCCTCTACTTAGTCAAGCCCTAACCCACAAATTACCGCTGATTTTTCCTTAATTTTTCATGCTTAAATTGATAAAAATCATTCCAATAATGAGTTTAGGGAACAAAGACCTTACCCCAATGAACTTCTCTGAAAATCCCTCTTGAAAAGTGCTTCCCAAGATTCTTCCCTTCTGAAATATGGTAAAAATAGCTAAATTTAGTGAAGGCAAGTATTTATATGTTTCTGCCCAGCGATTTCCGCATTTGCGGCCCTGGGACCACATCTGCGATCCCTTTTTGCGGACCAATGGTCGCATCTGCGACAATCACTAACTCAGCCTGATTCCACATCTGCGACTCCCCATCCCCATATGCGGTACCGCTCCTGTGGAAATTCTACCGCTTCTATGGCTCCTACTGAACCTCCCCATTTCCGCAACTGCGATGCCAAATGCCGCTTTTGCGGCTCTGCACCTACGGTCTCACACTCGCAGGTGCTGTTATGACAGAAAACCAGCTGAAGCTGCAACTCCAAACTCCAAAATCCTTCCATCAACCATCCGAAATCATCCCGAGGCCCCCGAGACCTCAACCATAGGCACCAACAAGTCTAATACCACTGTCCAAACTTATACCAATCCTTAAAACACCTAAAACAACATAGAAACGACGAATCAACCACGGATTCAAGCCTAAAAAATCCAAAACACTAAAAATACGCTTTCGATCAAAAAGTCTATCACACTCCATCCGAATGACCTGAAATTTTGCACACACGTCACATTCAACACTACGGAGCTACACTAACTTCCGGAATTACATTCCGACCCTCGGATCAAAATCTCACTATCGAACCGAAAACTTTAAAATTTTGACTTTTGGCATTTCAAGCCTAATTAGCTACGGACCACCAAAACACAATTCGAACACGATCCTCACCCCAAAATCACCCAACGAAGCTAACGTAACAATCAGATTTTCATTCTGAGCCCGTCTTCACACTGTTCCGACTACGGTCAAATTTCCAACACTTAAGCTCTCATTTAGGGATTAAGTGTCCCAAAAGTCTCTGAAACTCAAAACCGAACATCCCGACAAATCAAAATAGCAGAAATAAACACGGGGAAGGCAGTTAATAGGGGGATCGGGGCGTTAATTCTTAAGACGACCGGCTGGGTCGTCATATCCTCCTACAATTAAACATTTGTTCGTCCTCGAACAAGCATAGAGACATACCTGAAGTAGTGAAAAGATGAGTGTAACGGCTGCGCATATCCTACTTGGTATCCCAGGTTGCCTCCTCAACCGGCTAACCCCGCCACTCAACCTTAACTGATGCAATGTTCTTTGACCTCAGCTTTTTAACCTGCCTAGCCAATATTTCCACCGACTCCTCAACATAGGATAGATCCTTGTCCAACTGGACTGAACTTAAATCTAACACGTGCGACGGATCACCGTGATACCTCCGGAGCATCGAAACATGAAATACCGAATGAACTCTTGCCAAGCTGGGAGTTAAATCAAGCTCATAAGCAACCTCCCCAACATACCGCAATATCTCAAAAGGGCCAATAAACCTCGGACTCAACTTTCCTTTCTTCCCAAATCTCATAACGCCCTTCATAGGCAAAACCCGAAGCAGAACCCGCTCTCCAACCATATAGGAAACATCATGAACCTTCCAGTTTGCATAGCTCTTCTGTATAGACTGGGCTGTGCAAAGTCTATCCTGAATAATCTTAACCTTCTCCAAAGCATCCTGTACCAAGTCTGCGCCCATTAATCTGGCCTCACCCGGCTCAAACCAACCCACCGGGGACCTACACTGCCTACCATATAAGGTCTCATACGGTGCCATGTGAATGTTGGACTGATAGTTGTTGTTGTAAGCAAACTCCGCCAATGGCAAGAACTGATCCCAAGACCCTACGAACTCAATCACACATGCACAGAGCGTATCCTCAAGAATCTGAATAGTGCACTCAGACTGTCCGTTCGTCTGAGGGTGAAATGTTGTACTCAACTCCACCCGAGTACTCAACTCATGCTGAATGACCCTCCAAAGCCATGATGTGAACTGAGTACCTCTATCTGAAATGATAGAAATTGGAATACCATGCAGACGAACAATCTCCTGGATATAAATCTCCGCTAGGCACTCTAAAGAATAGGTAGTACACACAAGAATGAAGTGCGCGGACTTGGTCAGCATATCCACAATCACCCAAATAGTGTCGAATTTTCTCAAAGTTCGTGGGAGCCCA